GAGCTGGCGGACAAAGCTCGAGAAGTTATTGTGCTTGAAATAATTCGGGAGAAGGTCGCGAGCAAACTCCGGCGGCCGCCACACGACGAAGGTGGAGTTGTCGTCCCCCCAGGAGACTATATGGTCGGTGGAGGGATCGTCGACCAGCTGGTACGTCTTCGTCAGAAACGGCGCCGGCACCGATTTCTGTGAATCCAACGACAGCAATATGCCATCGCACGTATTCTCCATCATCATCGCCATCCAAATTAATTATTATGCCTAATTATTTTTTTTTTTTAATTAAAAATATCCAGAGAAAGGAGACGAAGGGTTTTTCAAGGTGAGGGTTTGTTTGATTGGAGATGATGATGAGTGAAGAGTATCAGTGAAGTGGTATGGTAACTAATATATATATATATATGTGCGTGAGTGTATGTATATGAGAGAGAGAGCGATTTTCTTTATTATTTTATTATTATTTTTAGGTTAGTGGGGAGGTAAAAGCCCAAAGGGAAGGATTGTTAGTACTGTACTGTATTATTTATGTTATTTTTTACATTATTATTACTATTATTTATTATAGGGTATTGGAGGAGAGAGGGGAATATGTGTCTTTCTAGGACTGTGGATTAAGGGCTTTTCAAGACAAGCCCGTGACACTCTTTTCTCTATCTACTTTTATTAATTAGGAAAATGTTACGGTCACGGTACGGAACCATTCTGTTGAAAAATGATTGATCTAACAGTTACAAAACCCCGACACAAAATGATTCCCTAACAGACCGTAGCATCTCGCTATTAATTAACACTCTCTACTCCCTATTATTTAGTTTTAGTTTCAAATTTTTTGAAAAAAAAAATGAAAATTGAAATATCGAAATTGAGTGTAAAAAAATGAAAAATAAAGATGAGTTCATTCAGAAAATGGGATGTTTAATTTTAGCTTGCGTTTGATTTATATTGTCCATTTTTTCGTGGCTAAAAAATTGAAAAAAAAAAATATATATAAAAATTGGATTTTATTTTATTATATGGGTCTTGTTTTTTGTGTTATTTGTCCTTCGAAACACTGAAAAACTGCTGTTGTTTTTGGTGGACTATTCATCAGACTGCTGCTTCATTGCCAGTGCGTGTTTTTTGTAAACTGGATAGTAATTTTATGGTACTGTGTCGTTTGGAATTCCCCAATACGGTTGCTTTATTTACTTATCAATTTTGTACACCTTATTCATTATTACCTCATTCATCCATCACTTATTGGGATAATAATGATAAAATACTAAAAATAATAACTAAAATATAAATAAAGGGGTAAAATTTCATACAAATGTATCTATTTTTGTTAATTTGCTATCCTTTGTACATTTCATTTATTCAATTCATGCAATTATCAAATCCTTAAAAATAAAATTAGAAAAGAAAACCTTGTCATTTTGGAAAAAAAAAAAAAATACATAATGAATTAGGATCATGTAACAATTGATGAATAACACATATAGTTTGGACGAACACATTTATATATATAATTACGAATGACAATGCATGAAATTTGAGGAACTTAATGACGGGAGATGCTACGGTCCCGTTACAGAATTAATTTTGTCGGGGATAAATTATCACTGACGGTTACATGATGAACTAACATTTACAAACTCCGACGGAATAGTTTTGTATAGTGTAGTATTTCCCATTAGTTACATGGGATGGGTGTCACGATGAACATTTCTATAGGGTCAACAAATAGGGATTTTACTCTCAATAATTGATCATTCAAATAATGCAATTTTTTTTGTGGACCTGTCAATCTAACCATTAGGCGAGTCGACTCGTGTAGAATTATTTTAAAGGAAATATATACTTATGGATGGTATGAAATATTTCACTTTTTTTAATGTTGGTTTTTGTAATATCATATTATATTTTATTTTAAAAATATTAATATATATTAAAAAAAAAATGACATTAACTAAGTGAAAATCTACATCATGGCATGCAAATCAAGGGGTAATTAAGTCATGAAAGGAGCTTATTTAGTAATTAAATATTGGAAGGATAAATTTTGAAAAAAGGTGAAAATTAAAAAAATTGAAGATGTAGAAGAAGAAGAAGAAGATGGTGGATTAATGGAATCAGTTCACGTCAAACGAGTGTGTCTTTTCTTTACGTTTTGTAGGTTTCCCCTTGTTCTTTTTTTTTTTTGTTTTTGTTTTTGGTACAGGACCTTTGGTTTTCGGATTCACAGGGGAACCCACAAATCTAGAATCGAGCCGGGTAGGACCACAAGGGCGGCAAAGCTCTCCCTCAAGAGTTTTAACACTGCTGCATTCCCAGGGCTCGAACACGAGACCACTAGTTAAGCTGGAAGAGACCCAATCTATCTCATCCAAGCGCTCTTGGATTGTTTCCCTTTGTTCTTTACTGAACTTAACCCCCCTCCCAATAAAATAAAATACTACCTCTTATTTTTAATATATGTCGTTTTAAGAAGTTGCACACTAATTAAGAATATTTTTTTGTCAATAATAACCTTATTTATTGAAGATAGAGATGAATGTTTTGAGAAAAAGTGAAGAGTGAATATGAAAGAACGTAAAATATTTATTAGTTAAATGAGGGTAATAATGAAAAAATATGTACAAAATATCCAAAACGACATTTATTTGACAAATAGTTAAAAAACTCACACAGAAGAGGGAAAAACGCAGTAAATCTCTCACACACACAAACACACGCACGCATATTGATGAGTTATGATTATATTTTGTAGTCGTCGTCTACTGTATACAGATGGATTGTTTGCATATTATTAAGGAAAAGACATACACCGAATTACGTGATGTGATATTTAAAGCCTGTTTTTCAATGACCACATTTCTTCTTCTTCTTCTTTTTTCTTTTTAATTAATTTATTTTTTTTCAGTTACAAATAAATAATAATATTCCAAACTTTAATAAGAGACATATGATATGGATGTATAGTGACATATTTATGTATGTGTAATTACAAAAATTAATTACTCAGACATACATGTATAGTGATTAGTGAACCAACTATTTATTTATTTATTTATTTATTTATTTTTGTGGTACAAGAACCAACTATTTATTAGCTATTAATTATGCTTATTTTTCTTTTTCTTTTTAAATTAATTTTGAATTTGTTAAAATTGGCTTACATATTTCTGCTGAGGTGGCTCGGGGAGTGATTGAATTATTGGCCTGTAAAGTGTTCTTCGTATATATCTCTAAAAGCAAATGCTTTTTTTCCCCTTTTTTTGCTAATTTTTTTGTGTTATTTCTTTTCTTATGTTAGAAATTATTTCACAATTTCATGAAATTTGCTTTAAATTTTGTTAAATTACCGTTATCGCGATTCCATTTCAACTATACTAATGTTATCGTACTACAAAAAAAATAGGGTTTTAGTGAAGATTTTTTTTTTTTTCTCACTATCTCTACAATTATTATCATTATATCCACTGTCACTATATCTATAATTGTTTGTCAGTAGATATAGTGACAAAAATTTAGATATAGTGACAAAAAAATTCTTCACTAGAACTCTATTTTTTTTTAAGTTAAAATATCATTTATTAAACCATTTCATTTAACTTTTTCTTTTACTTATGTTTAAATGTTTCTTTTAATGTAGAAATATTCTTTTATTTAAATATTAAATTATGAATATCATACGAATTACGTACAACCTGAGTCATAACAAGGATACTATTTATGAGAGAAAAATTCAAAATTAGTTCTATAAGTATAGGAGGGTGACATTTTTGGTCCCAACGGAATCTAGAAAATATTAATAGTCCTGCAGCTTTTAAAAAATGATCAAAAGTATGACTTTTTTTAATTTTCTGGCCCAGAATGCCACGTGGCCACATTCATCTGACGTGGCTGAGTACAATGGCAAGGAAAAAAATCAAAATTAGTCCCACAGGTTTTGGGAGGTGACATTTTTGGTCCCAAAAGAATCCATAAAATCTTAAATAGTCCCGCCACGTGTGTGCGACGTGGCATTCCGGGCCGGAAAATTGAAAAAAGTCCTACTTTTAATTATTTTTCAAAAGCTGCGGGACTATTAATAAAACTTGTATGTTGCACCGAAAAAAACTTATATGTTGAATGTAATTAGTTATTTTTAATAATAGTGTACATAAGTTAATTAAGTATCTACGACAAATTCATTAATTAAGCGTTAGTGACATTTCTTTTCTCTTATCAGATTTAGTTAACATGTTTGCATTTGAGGATTTAATAATATAAATTTTAATGTCTATCATATTTTCGAAGTAATGTCTATTATTCTTTTCAAATAGTCTTGGTATAAATTAAATTAACAATTAAATTTAAGTGTCAACAAAAAATATATATACTTAACAACAAGTGTGATCAATGTCGCTATGTAATTTTACAAATCAACTAACAACTATATCACTCAATGTTTAAAAACTACATTTTACTGGACGGTAATAATATCGCTGGTCCGACTGTTATGATAACACCTTAAATACCTCTTCTTATATATAAAATACTATGCTGAAATATTGTTTATATCATAAAATACAGGCTAAAATACCGTTATTTAAATATTTCTAGTATTTTTTTATACCAAGTCTTTTACTTAATTTGAAGGTTATGCACTTAATTTTAATATTTTTATATTACTTTTAATTAACTTTAGCATTAATTAAATTGATTTTTGTATATTATTCATAGTATAGTAATAATTAAATAGTATAGTAATAAATTAAATTAGTATTTATTTAAAATTTTAAAATAGGCACTAAACCAGAGGTTGTCCAGTATGATTGTAGGTACGGTATTTAAAACACCGCTAGCCAATATTTTTCAGTTATTAAATATACATATTTGATAGCATAAGTATGTTTGTGTACACACAGTATAACGGGTTGATCCGTCTAACAGTTATCTTTTTTTTTTTTTTTTTNNGTTTATAAAAAAAAAAAATCAAAACTGATTTTACATCAACCGTCTCGCGGCACACAAAAGCAAAGTGGGTAACCACAATCCGGTCCCTCACTCGCTAATCAAAATGATGAGCGGCAAACCACACTCGGTTGCTCAACTCA